AGGTGAGACAGCCTACGTTAAGGAAGTGTAGCATCATTCCCTGTGGCCCAGATCCTGGACTGCATGCAAGGAGAAATCTGAACATGGGCATTCACTGTTTCCTATTTTCTGGCAGCAGAAATTGCGTGGCCGTATTTCTCAGGTTCCTGCAGACAAGACTCCCTGCTGTGGTGGCCTCTAAGACTGAACTGTGATCCAAAATGACCTTTCTTTTTTAAGTTGCTTTCCTCAGAGTATTTTATCAGAGTCATAGGAAAAGTAGCTGAGACAAGCGGCATGGGGACTTGATGACCAACATGCTAATGAGGTAGAGCATCTCCTCAGAGCTTTATCTGAGACTTGTGTTGGAGCACATGCTGTTCACATGGAGGAAAGAGGTGGTTAAAGGGAACCAGAGGATGTGAACCTCCATGTTTCCTCCATGTTCCTATGAAAAGTATAGCAAAGCTATCAAGGTATTTAGATAGTCTCGTTAGTTGGTCTCAAATTATAGTCCTTACCTGGGCCATTTTTCATTTGTACCTGGCATCTAGCCATGAAATAAATATAAATACATATGAAAGGGTGTTCAGTAATTTGAAATGGAAGTGATTTGCTGGACAATAGTTTTTCATACATCCACGTGCCTCTATCATTCCTCCCATAACAACAATGTATGATTTGATGATTCTTTCAAAAGTTGGGGTAAGTTGTAGCCCTTATACCAGTCCTACTTACATTTTTATAAGCTGTTTAATGTTTAAGGAAGTATATTGTTTTTCATGCCCAGAAAAAAATCATCATTTTTACATACAATCTAATCCACAATTTAAAACATTTCACTGCTAAACGTCTTCTCTCACCCCTCCAAATTGATTTGAATTCTAGGTTTTAAAAACCACTTACCGTGTTGCGTTGTGCTGGATCTGCCTGGCAGCCTGAGAACCATTGATCAGAATGTGTTTAGATTTGACTGCTTTCCCAATTATGAATTGTAATTACACAGGATGTAAACACAAGTTTAAGTGGTTGTAAAACTGCTCCAATATTTGTTACACTATTAATTTAATAAACTGAATATTTAGCAGGGTCTTCCTAATTACACATCCGAGGACAGAAATGTTTTTTCACAAACCTCGTCACACTAGATTGGAAGCAACCCCCATGCCCACTCCCAACACCTTCCTAAAGGCAGAGAAAAAGAGATGGAGAGTGATGACTCTAATCTCTTTGCCTCTAGGTGTTTATCACACCAAGAAAGCCAAAACAATTACTCAGGGCTTCGTGGGGTAAATAGCAGAATGCTCTTTCTTTGGAGGATGCTTTCCTGCGGTGTTTCCTATAGGCAGAGGGAAGACTTTCCTCAACAGGAGTGGCCCTCCTTAGGAGTGCAAACACAAACAAAATTGACTGCCTGGGGGCCAAAAAATAGCACCTATTCTTAACAGGGCTTCAGGTGCGTGCTTTTCTGCGGTCCAATGTGTAACAGACAAACTCTGCTATGGTGCTATCAGCAATCATCACCATACAACTTTGGTATATGATATCTTTAAAGGACTTGACACTCTCTGGCCATGCAGGAATTTCTGTCTCTAGTTACGCCCAGGTAAGGAATGTAATAATTATATTTTACTCTTCCCAGTGAAGTGTTTTTTTTTTTTGTCAATGTGGAATTTCTAATTCTAATTAAATAATAGTTCAAATGATACCTCTGGGGAAAAAAATGGGACTATATTTGAAAAATGGGAGTTATTTTTACTTACAACCCTCTACCTTTTGCCTCAGTCAGCTTAGCTAAATCTTTAGTGCTAACACAATTGGGTTTTTGTAGAATAATGACCCATTTTAGCAGGTATCATTTTTGGTTAATAAAAACATCACATATTTTTTTTAAATGTTACTACTCCATTTTAATTCATCCATTAAAAGCAGCTTTTGGGTGATGGGAGCAGACTGAGGGGAGTAGGATTCCAGCAGTTACTAAAGGTCCAAATACTTAAAAACAACCTTCACAATTATTTCAGTCTTCTTATGGAATTATTTCAGAGCTCCCTCTAAAAATGAAGTGGGGGCAGTATTTTTCTTCTGCAGTAGGAGTTTAAGTCACTGCCTATTGGTCAATATTAACCTGGTTCCCACAGATGTTATTTCCCATTTTCTAGCTACGTGCAGTAGTGTGACTTGTGCACAGGGCATGGCTGTGTCTTCTCTCCATGGTTCTGCAGGAGCGTAATGAAGATGGTCGCCTGGGAGTCACACCACACCAGGTGCTGAGAAGAACAGAAAGTCTCTGTTCCGGAGACTGGGGAAAATTCAAAATACGGAAGTTGGCATGCTTTTTTTTTTTTCTGACATCATCTTGTGTTTGTGTGCTGTTTATGTGAGGAGTTTGTTGGCATCCATTTTTAGGTAATGAAAGGGCAAGAAAGCCACTCATAATGTAAGAAACTAAAAATATAGTTTAAATAAAAGCACTCTATGGACATACTCAGAATGCGCAGAATGTTTGTGTCAAGCGACTGATGTTTCTCAAAAATAACAGTGAGAGACTGGAGAGGGGGCTCCGTGGTTAAAAGCACTGGTTGCTCTTGCAGAGGACCTGGATTCAATTCCCACCATCCACATGGTGGTCCACGACAATTTCTAACTCTAGTTCTAGGGGATCTGACTCCCTCTCTTTACCTCTAGGGCACCAGTATAAGCAAAGCATCCATACACGACAAACAAATAAATAAATAATATAAATTACAATCCAGTGCTGATTGCCAGAGACTGAAAGAGTTGTTCAGAGTTAGGCTTTTGTGTCAAAATCCCTGGGGTATTGCTCATTTGCTTTTTATTCTTATACGCAATAATTTCTCCAGTTGGGTTTCTTTTGAAAAGCCCTCCTTTTTAAGCCTGGTTGTTCATCTTCTTCCAACTCGTGGCTAAGTGAGTATCATACCCTCCTTATCAATAAAGGCTGGAGGGGTCAGCATGGTAAGGAAAGAACTCGCTTAGATTTCCGAAGCTGAAATTTTACATCATACCAGATGTTAAATACACACAGTGTCATATGTTATGAAAATACTATGTATCCCCAAGGTCCCTAGTATCCTGCTCACTCCTGTGAGCACAGAAACTGCTAAACAGATATTTTACCTGGAAACAAACAATAGGTGAAGGTACAACAGAGCATTCAACACAACACCCCACCCCACATTGCTGGGTTATTTGTGGAAGGGGTGAAGGAGAGGAAAAGAAAGGCTTTGATTTCAGGGTTTCTATTTTAATATTCTTAGACCCCAGTGAAGTCCCAGGTCCAGAAAAGGGCAAATGGGACATGCCCGAAACTACTCAACTGTGGAGTCTGTTCCCTCTTCCAACCCGGTGCTCAAGGCTGTGCACTGCCTCTTGTGCTGCTTGCCTTCAGGAGCCCACACCGTCCTGTGGGGACATCTGATTAGACTAACTGGGGCAGTGCAGAGGAGAGTGAGCGTGGTCCTTAGGCTGGGTGACAACTCATTCCCACTTTATGGTAAGTAAGACAGGTTACTTCTGCGCACAGCAACACTCTCTACACAGCTGTCGTTTTGGCTCCCCCACCCCTTTTGAGTTTTATACACGTCAGTAACGGGAAGAGTGATGTTCCTACTTTGTAGGGCAGTTGACAGATGAGCTCATGGAATAGCTGGTTAGCTCGCCTTAAGAAACCTGCCAGGACACAAAGCAAGAACTTGATCCTCAAATGTGGGCACGACTCACCACGCCCTGTCTGCCTCAGCCCTGTCTCAGGACAAAACATCACAACTTGAAAGACTTCTAGAAAGCAGCAGAGGAAATCCCTTCGGCTGACATTTCTTCAAGAGGATTGGCTTTTTAAAGAACTTGAGAATCCAGATTAAAAAGAACATTTCATTTACGTTTGTTACATACCTAAAAGTGAATTTTTATTAAAAGTAGATCACATCACTCCAAGAAATTCAGAGAACTATATCTAAATACACTGAATGCAAGATATTCCTCATCAATTTAGATTCTTATAGCCTCATAAAGATAAAATGCAGATGAATCGATTTAAATCAGGCCTTCATTAAATTTCAGAATGAGCATTTTTGGAATCCCATGGATTGAATTGTGCATTGTCTGATTCCTGATCATTGTGGCAAGGTTATGAGTGCATAATTATAAAGTGTACCGTTGCCAGGAATAACACAGTCTGCCTTTGGTTTGTGCTAATGAACTATATGACAACTTAAACTCCGTCTTAATATAAGAAGTCCACCTCATTAGAAGTAATCTCACACTCTGTAGGCTATCAGCATTTTCATGTGTATTCTTTGGTGAGCTGGGAATATAATTTTCTATTTATGCTCCTAATGTAAATCTGCCATTTCTGGTTGGCCACTCTGGCACGAAGCCAAAGCGCTAATTTATTTTCATCTTTCCCTATTTCTTATATCAAAAGAGGCTGTTGGTTTGAATAACAAACATTCAATCGACTTGGACGTGGGGTAGCAGGCAGAACAGGCATTACCTGCTTACCTTTTATTGCCTTCTTTGAATTGGCTTTTCTGGGAACAAAACCAATAAGACATGCTGTTCCTTCATCTCGTTTTGACTCGGGTTATTTATCAGAAGGCATTTCCTCCCCCTCTGCTCAGCAAAGACTGGCAGCAGAGTGAAGAATTCAGCCTGGAACGAGCTTCTGACCTAATACTGTCATAGGTTAGTGTCCCACCAAGTCACGTAGGACTTCATTGTCCTTAAGCTTCTGTCTTGGCCTCATAATTGTTTCTGATTCTGAGAGATGCTGCTGCTGCTGCTGACACATTTGTCACCTGTGGGATGGCAGTATCCTGGGACAGAAATGCACTGTTCCACCCCCTCCAGAACTTTGCAGTGTTTCTCCCCGCTCCCCGGCTCCCTTTGCTGTCTTGTACGGTAATTGGCCTAATAAAAGGCAGAAACAAGAATTTATTACACCTTGGGCAGTACTTGAAACAGACTTTATTCTCAGGAACAGCAGTTATGTCTACTTGCTGCTGTATATTTTGATATTTCATTTAAATACTTAGAATATATTCAAAGTCAAATTGCTAATCACTCAATTTCCCTGCTGCTTCCTGGTTCCCCAGGTGGCCTCTTATGATACTCCATGTAAACACTGTATTTGGAAGGATACATCGATCAGCATCCCTCGAGTCACATGATCACCATAAATCTGTGAAAATAGCATGACTTAAAAATAAAAGTCTCTCAGTACTCTGCCAACAGGCTTTGGCATAATCTTGGCAATCACTTAGACATTTCTTTCTCCCTGTTCTTGCGGTTAGGATTTTTCCCAGGTGGAAAATAGTCTCGTATTTTGCAGACGCTGTCCAAGCTAGTGACTATCCATCCATCTTCCTGGGCTACCGATTACGTCAGCTGACTGTGTTCGGTCCACACAAAATCAGTGAAGTGACTGTGAAACTCTCGGAGGGTTGCTCCTTTTCCTCTTAAGAAGCGGCAATGCAAATTCCTGACGTCATTTATGCAGGAATTCTTATTCTTTAAATCCTCCAGCGTTAAAGCAACAAGAAAACATGTAGAATGTCCTTTGGTGGAATCTTATTACACTTGCTATATATGTAAACTGATATTCTTTGATGCCAGCACGCTCGTTGCCCATACAGAGAAATCTCTGCACAACGAAACAAAACCAAAGCAAAGAGAGGACAAAAAATCAAACGTCAGTCTTTGCTGATTCGAATTAGACACATCAACAGATTGTCTGGTAACATAAATTGGCAATAATACAAAAAATCTACATATTACAGTATTTCAAGAAAAATAACTTCATTTTAATACAAAAGGATAGATACACTTTCTCTTTCCTCTAGCCACTCTTGTTAAGTGGGTGTGAGCTGGCACTGAGCTCTCAGTGCTGCTAAAATATACAGGGGTATGACTGGCTTGCGCTTTGGAAGGGGTCTGTTACACATGTATATCACTAACATCAGACAAAGAAACCTTTCAACCAACAAGGGTTACAGAGCAACTTTCACTAAAGCACAGGTTGAAAGGGATGGGGGCGGGGAGCCGAAGCAGGCCAATATGGCAGCTTGTAACAGATTTCCTTATACCCACAATGCACCTGACAGCAAAGAATGCTTCTATTTGGTTGGTCCACACACTGGGCAGAGCGGTACTAGGGTGCACCACGGTAGAGTAGCGAATTTTTTTTTTTTTTTTCCTTTTAGGTTGATAGATCAGTTTGTTTTTGTCTTTCTTTTGGGGACGCTCTCGCAGCCTTTCCAGTCCGCAATGGGCTCTGCAGCTGGCAATGAGATTTGCAGTGATAATAACAACAGCTGCCAATTCCTCTGGAGTCAGTGATGACAAACAGTCTTGACTCCGACGGATGTGCTGTCCGGGTCTGAGAGATATGGCTTAGTTCAGTTATGCCCTCTTCGCTTGTACACTGTGTTGGAGTGGGTGTGCGTGTTTTCTATGTTAGTAGCAATCGCTTGGGTTGTGTCTGCGTCCCCACAGCACAGGCCTGTTGGAGGGCTGGTGTGACCCCTAGAACACCAGGGGACTGGCTGTCCCCAGCAGCACGGTCAGCAGCAGCAGTGCTGGGGAGCCCCGTGGGGGTGCTCCCTGGCCGGAGTCGGAGCCACAGCTCCCGGCCTCTTCGCAACGCAGCTTCTCACAAAGGATGCCGGTATAAGCGGCTGGGCACAGGCAGCGCACATTGTTGTGGCAGGTCCCTCCATTCTGGCAGTGTAGGAGCTCATTGTCGCAGACATTAGCTGCAGAACGAGGGGAGGGAGGGGGAGGGGAGGAGAAGCAGAATCAATTTAAGTTCATCTGGAACATCATGTTTTCAGCTTTAAAAAAGAAATTCTCTATCGATCTTGTCTTCCCCCGTCCCTCCACAAACTAAGCATGTGACTCCAATTTCCAAACAAATGTAGCTGACTGCCTTTGCTTCCATCATATTAGGCCTTTTCGTATAGTTTTTTTTCTTCCTTTTTTTCTTTTGCCCTGCAATCTTTGTTATTTTCCAGTTCGGGCTATCGAATATTAAGTAATGCAATGCTCCTGGTTTGGAAATTCTTATGTCCCCGGGACCTTTTGTGACCTCCTAGTTTTTAAAGGACAAGTGCCTGATACAAGAATGGCGAACCTTGAAGTCAGATGAGTGCTCTTTAAAATGCAAAGCGGTGTTGCTAAAATGACCAACAACCTTTCAGGTCAGGACATTCATCGTCCCTGCACCAACTCCAGCCTTGTTGTGCATGCAAAGAGGCCACAGGGAAGCAGGGGAATGCAGGGTTGGGATGTGACGAAAGTAGCATGCTCCAGGCAGGCGACAGCCAGATGGGAAGAGGGAGAGCTTGTTTCGTGGGAGGCATGTGAGGAAGAGCAGTCACATTTGTCCCTGACAGCCCATTAGGGGTTTTTATTGCTTTGTAAATATGGGAAGTAGAGCCCAAGGTTACCTTGATTTGGGAACAGTAATAAATGCAACGGTGAAACCCTGATTACCAAAATTTCATTACATCCATCAAGGCATAGAATCAGGCTGGAAAATCAAGCCGCAGCTCCTGGCTAAAATTCATTTGTAGCCTCCGTCACAGAACTTTCACCTCTAATAATTTCTCATATCTTCCAAATTCCCGTTATCCTCATTAATTCAATGTCTTGTATTCTCTTAGATAATCAAGGTTTCACTGATTTAGCAGAATGTTAAATAGAACCCAGGGAAATTAACACAACAACGAAGAATAAGAGAGCCAAGAAGGAGCGCTTTCCAGCAAACGTTTGCTGCTTAAGCACTTAACACACAGACCACTCTGGACAGAGGGCGGGGCACAGAGCAGAAAAAGGAGCTTTTTGTAAATTATAACAGATTTCATTCAAAGAAAAGGTCATGGCCCAATTTCTCTAAAGATGTCACATGGACACACACACACACACACACACACACACCACAATGGTGCTATTAAAGACAAAATATTTTTATCAAATAATTCCCATCTTCCAAGTAGTAACTCAGTAGTAGATAGCATTTGATTTGTCCATTAATCATACTTCAATACTCGTGTGGTCTTCAAGAGGGGCTCTACCCACACACATAAACGTATGAGTGCTCTTATGTATGAATGGGTTCAGGAAAGGTGGCACTGGGCATCCACAGGGCTAATAATAAAGTGCCTACACAGGGTTCAGTGTGACTACGTTCCTCGACATTCCGGGGAGACACAGAGACAGGTGCATAATACATTGGTATAATTAGCACTGGTAAATCATTCATGTTTGAAATGCTGAGACACAAGGCAGTGTCACATGGATTATAAGCATCAAGCATACAAGCTGCCTCTCGGTGGGTGGCTTAGACTGAACCCAAATTGCGGTATTTTGTCAGTCATTTCTTGGTTCCCAAGCACAGGGTGATTAGATTCATGGACAAAGCAGATAAAAGTCCTGGTGTGTTGTTGTTGTTGTTCATTGGCAAAGTATACAAAGGTATTAGGGGTTTCATTTTGCTTACACCTCAAGAAATATCTGTTTAATTGCGGCAACATGGAATAAACAGATCCAGGTAACCATTTCCATTTAAAGTTAAAGATTCTGACCATTTCTTGTTCTAGGAGGCAGATTGCAGAATGGGATATTTCCTTTCATTTGGGCACTAGACATAGGGAAATATCTGTTCCATCAATATCGATAATTGCTTGCCTTGAATAATTGAGAAGAAATCAATAGTTAATTAAATATCACTCCCCTCTTTTTTGCGAAGCTATTTTTCTTCCTCTCGGACTTGAATGTAAAACAGCTGTTGAGCAGAGGTTTCTTTTTTCTAAGAAGCCAGTGATTAAGTTAAAATTCAATACCTTCCCTACATGTAAATAATCTGCTAGTTGGTTTGGATGGTTGTGAAAAAATTTAATAAATACACAAGAAACAGATGTAGCCCAGGATCAGTCATCTCATGGACTTGGGGAACATATCTTGGGTAATAATAAACAGTTAAAAAATGGAACTTAGTATACATTTTATTATTTTAGAATTTATGATAAAGTACATTACATTTGGGTTCTTGATGGTACCCATCCTATTAAAATTCAACAAGAACAGGATTTTACCGTGCATACAATACCATCTAATGGCTGGAATCACATGCTAGAAACACACTTAAATCTAACTGCAGTTCTTACCTGATGCTTATAACCTCATGCTCCATCTTCATGTCATTTAGTACCAAAATTCTGTTGGTTAATGAACAAACTAGATGGTTAAGTATCAAGGAGCTCTTCTTCAGCATGTAAGACCTTGTACTGAACACCATGGAGACAATAAAAACAAACACAAAGCATAGTCTCTGTTCTCATAGAGCTCTAATTTACTTAAGGAGATGAAATACATTCTAAAAGGGATCTAGCGCTGATTTCATTAGAATGTCCTTATTAGTTTCATCCACCTCAGACGTTTGCCCATGACTAGCATCCTTCTATGTTTTGTGGTTACCACTCTAACTGCCGTAAAGAAGTTCACAATTTGGTGAAAAATCAACAAACACAACCAGAGACAGTCACACAAGGTAGGAAAAGACCACAAAGCAAGTATTTGAAAAATGTTAGGTGAACACAAATGATGGTGTCTATGTTTTGGAGAAGAGAAAAAATTATAGAAAAAGAGTCATATCTGAACAACAGTGCACACAGGGCAGATACAGGTCAAAGAGCACCATGGATGGGGAGACTGTGTGTGTTAAAGCAAAGAGATGCCAAGGGGCTGCCTAGGTTATTCAGAATTTATCTTTGAACACTGATTCCCTTTTTTTTTTTTTTTTTTTTTTTGTTTTTACAACACAATTCCTGCAGGTTGTGCTGGATTCCACCAACAATGGACCACAGAGGGAACGGAGAAGGAAAGCGGGGGGGGGGGGGGNGGGGGGTAGGTGTGTGTGTGTGTGTGTGTGTGTGTATGAAGCTCCTTCACTCTTCCTTCTTAATGGCTTGCCTGCCCAGCAATGGTTCTTTATCTCAGCTTTCCTTTGCTCATCTTTACTCAGAACCAGTTTCTCACTGAACCACGTGAAACTCTGCACCATCTTGATAGCGTATCTCCAAGGCCTACAGGTGTAGGCAGACATCAGCCCTCTTCAGAGATGTAGTTCTAAGGTTTATGAAGTCTCTCATCTACCCCATTGGTTTCTGGAAAGCCCCCCTTCTTTCTTGTCATTGCTCGACCTCTGAGTGATAGTTACTCCTGCATGAGCACTTACTGGCCAAGAGTTACATTGGTGCCGTATTCTGATGTTTAGTCTTCAAATACTTATTATCCCATTTCCTTTAATAATGCTTCCCTGTTGAAATACCTAGAAAGGCTTGTTTTCTGGCAGGAACTTGACTGAGAGATGCAAACATTATCTCAGTGAATGATAAGTGGGCTGTGCTTGGAAGGCGGGCTGCATATAGGACAAATGGGGTAGAATGCCAGTGGCATTCAGGCTGTGGATATTTTTATGTATACTCGGCAGAGTTTGGGAAATGGGCATTGGGAAGCTGTCAAAAGTAAATGAGGCATCTCGAGTTTTGAAGGGAAAAGAAAGATGAATTTAGACAAAGATAGACCGGTGGAAAGGAGACCAGACACTCAAAAGAATGGGCTGGGGCTAGGTTGGAGCAATGGAGAGAAGGAAGGGCACACCTGAAGGTAGTTTGCATAACCAGCATGAGTGATTTTAAGGTCTCATTTGAGCATGTGGGTAAGTCACAAAGAAATTTATTAAGAAAAGGCACTAAGAAAGGAATTTAGTTAGAGAAGTCAATGAATAATTTTTTAAGGCTTATTGGCTGTGAGGAGTCTGTAAACTCTTCTAAAATGTTTTTTGAATACTTGGGAAAACTACGTTGAGGTCCAGGAGACAGTTCGTTATGGAGATGGAGGTGTAGAAAATGGGTGGTAAAGGTCATTGTGATTCAACACAAATTATACAATCACATGGTGGTGGAATATCAACCATGTCCAAATGAAGAGTGCCCAGAGTCTCAGCCATATGCAGAGAAAGCAACACCATGAAGAATGGTTGGAAGAAAAATGTCAACAAAATGGAGTGGTCACATGATTATGAAAATAATCATAAAAAATACTTCCCTGTTATGGAAGACCATCTATGAATTAACATATGAAGTCGAAGAGTAAGAGAAGAAGGGCACTTTGAATTGGGCAGAGCAAATGTGTAATGTAAGTCTCAAGGGATTGAATCAGCCAGAAAGCGTTTTGGAATGATTAGAAAAAACACTGGGAAAACTGAAGGAAATAACAGTTTGTAGAAGTCCTTGAACATTAATTGATAGGAGTAGATTACAATAATTTGGAGATTATGATTCCCAGGATATTAGGATATTAGACAGTAGCTAGAGATCACTTATTTATTTATATTTCTGATTGTCATGATTGCGTCGAGATAGCATGCCATGGATGGGTAGTGGTCAAGGATGCTGCTCAATGTCCTATAATTGCTGGCACAGCTTCCTCTCTCACCAACAAGGAATTATTCCTCAACCCATGTGAAGAGTAAAATAATGATATTCTGGATCAGAGTGCACTCATATCCATGAAATTAAAGAGCTGTCCTTGATGCACACTGGGAAAAAGAGCAGGAAGCAGGCTTGTCAATTCTAGATCAAAATAACATCGAGTTTACAGATGCACAGCCATTGGAATGAAAGAAACTGCAGGTAGGTAAGTCAGAAATACTAGAGTGGATTGCTTTCTTAAGCCTGTATACAGTGAAAGG